CCCCGTTTCCTTTTTTCATAAAGGGCTGTGACCGGATATTGTAGCGTTTTGTCGAATGTAATTTCAATGAAGAAATAAATTGAATAACATATGTATTTTTTCTTTTCTCAGTAATTTTATAGTTTTTAAACTTAAGTGATTAAATTTGGATTTTAAAATTGGCATTTTTTAATTTTAATATTAAATTTTATCACTTTTGCACCTAAGAAACAAAGGATGAATTGTATTAAGTCAAAGATCAAAGGCTATCTGATTTTTCCAACTGTGTATGTGTTTCATTGAATTTTTGTTTGTTAATTATCACTAACAACTTTCAGAAAAGCATGAATAATGAAATTCAGATTTTCAAGGTGATTTTTTTTGCAGGTCAAATTTGGCAGACATAACCTATAGGAAGATGATATGCATGTTTGTTTCTATCTCCATGAATTCCAAGTGGCTTCTAAGAAAACAATGACACACCTTTCTAAACAATACAGCAAAATATATTAGATAACATTTTATTGTACATTGTAATTTATTTGGGTCACTCCCTTAAATTTAAAATAATTATATCTGCAAATGTCAAATTTTTATATATGTTCATATGTTTATTTTTCTGCCTGAATTTCTGGAACAAGGATTTATCATTATTTACACTATTTATCATTATCATTTATTATCATTATTATTTATTTATCACTGTTATTTATCATTATTTTTTTTATTATTTATTATTTACGCATAGATTATTGTCTTCATCTTTGTTGTTATCACAACATTTCGGCTGTTGGGCTCTCTGGCCGTCATCAGGTCTATCTCTGTCCAGGTAACCTTCCGAACTGAACCCTTTATTTAATCTACAGCTAAAGATTAATCTCATAATTAATATGTCACCAAATTCACAAACCAACATTTTAATCCACTATAGGACAACAGCTGAGTGGATTAAACATTGTTTTGTGAATTTTGTGACATAATAATTGTGAGTTCAATCCCTGGGCCAGGCAGTGTGTACTTGGACTCAGTGGAAATGGGGCGAGCAATAACTGAGCCATAAATAAGAATAAAAACTAGATGAGATATCCCTAGACATGGGCAAAGGAATGAGAACACTATGCCCGTAGATTAAATAAAGGGTTCAGTTTAGAATTCCTTGTAGGTTCGTTACTCAGATAATGGGACACCTAACGAAGGCCAGAGAGCACAACGGCCTAAACATTGTGATAACAACAAAAATGGAGAAAATAGTCTGCATGTAAATAGAATAAATAAGGAAAAATCCTCATTCCAAAAATTCAAACAAAAAAATAATATTTATTTTTATTTTTTCTTTAATATTTACTTATTTGTTTATTTCTTTGTTTTTGCACATTTTTATAAAAGGTAAAAAGAAAAAAAAATGATAATAATAGACTGATGGAAAATAAAATTGCACCACCTTGAAGGACAATGCTGATCTTGACCGAAGTAGAAGATGGGCATGTTAAGGCACAGTACATAATCTTTGGTAATTTTCTCAGACTTTGGTCATCTTGTGACAATTAGTGCACACTGGTACACTTTTATCAATCCATCATTTATGTCACAAGATGAGCAAAAGTCTTTTGAGTTTTAGACAATGATGCATTCAGTATGTTGAAACAATCCAGAGCAAAGTAGGTGTCATGTCAATGGAGACATACAAGTGTCTTTTGTTTTTTGTTTTTTTGTTTGATAAAAGTCATTTGAGAGAGGTTGCATTATTGTCCTTCAAAAGGCTGGGTAACCATTTCAGAGATTTGATGTGCATTGTATATGATGCCTTGGCAGTACCAAAATATTGGCAACAGTAGTCAAAGGAACATTGCTGCATTCATAAGCCAACTTCTGGACGGCTATGACACTTGCAAAGGTCAACACATCTTGAAAGGACAGCAGTGACAGACTGCACAGTGTTCATAATATAAAACAGAGAACAAATATGACATTCAAAATCATTTACTTGCAAGATTTCAATCATTATGTCTCAAAATCAAACTTCCACCACCACACTGCACATCTCTAACCCTAACCACAAGAGGGGGTCATTTGTAGGATGGAATGACGATCTGTAGTGTTAATTTGTTGGTTGCTTAGCAATATATCAACCGCTATGGGTTAGTTAATGCCAAAATCTAAATATATTGTATGCAATTATATTATTTGGAAATAATAATGGTTTAGTGATACAAGTCTTACTAATTAACCCATAACTGATGGGAAAAGAGATGGATTCATAACTCTCTCAAGGGTATTTGCATATAAGTGAATATAACAAACCCAGTTGAAACTGGAACTCAACTCCCCAATTAACAATTCCAAGCCATTATCCATTTACACTACACGCAAATTCAAGTTTACAGTGCCTGGCATTCCATAGGGACTCATATAAGTGATGGCGTGTGTGCCTCATCAAAATGTTAACTCTCCACAGTGGCCAAAAACAAAAGGCTTCGAAGGAAATTTCCATCATTATCAGAAAGGGTTGATAACAGTGGAAATGTCTAATTTCCAGAAAAAAATATTATAATAAAAAGATTTTAGAAATTTCAACTAAAAGTAATTCTAACTCTCCAGTCAATGAATGTCAAATGTTTCCTGTGTAGAAATGGTTAATTTCACCATTAACATTAGATTACATACATTACCGAAAAGGATGTATTTTCTGACAACATAGAGGCCCAGATTGACAACATGATATGAAGTGCTATAAGTAACAATTCTTGATTGCATTAGGCATTTTTTTTTTACTAATGTTCAACCAATACTTGACCCAAGAGCCACTCAAGGCAGAGGGGTACAGAAGAAGGTTGTTGTATGATCAATAAGAAAAAAGAAGCACAGTGTATGAGGATATGTGGGTAAAGACAATGGTTAAACCTAGACCTGAAGAGGTTGAGATTTGCTAAGTCAAGAAAGCATCCCCTTGGGACTCAGTTTCACAAAGTATTGGTTCATGGTAAGAATTTATTTAAGTGTAACTCTTCTTTTTTATGAATGAAACACAAAGGGGAATGAGAATGGTTGGCCTCATTGTATATAGCATAGCACATATTACCTGGCACATGTCAGAGGGGATCCCCCACATGAGGCTATGCACAAAGGGCAGAGTCTCGTCTCGAGAAACTGATCTATAGGGAATTTTTTGCCTGAGCCTCACTTTAAAACTTGGCCTTGTGCCACATCTTGCTGCGTGAGGCAGCAGGTAAATAATTATAGCATGGGAGAGAACACTATTGTAGTGAATGAGATAATCAAGTACCCCGGAAAAAAGTTCGTGTTTTGTGTGCGATCTGCCGGGGAGGGATTGCCAAAAAGTCGTCAACAAAACTCTTATGGCGACTTACCTCGTCAATCCAAGCGACAGCGCGTCGCGTGTATTCTGTGACGAAAAAGAAACAAGTCCGTTGCAGGAGTCGCTATAAGAGTATATTAATATGCAAATTACGGACATCCTATCCCGGCTGTCGACTAATGGAAAAAATAGGTTCTGCCGATAAAAGCAGTTGGTGTTGTCGACTCGGAGAAAAAAAAAAATTCAGGCAGTTTTGGCTACGGCGTTCGTGAGTTATTTTCCTGATGCGTTACAAGTGATTTTCTTTCTTTGTGTTGTGAAAGCCACAAATTTGCTTTGAGAACGCTTACTCTTCAAGCTATTTCGGTGGGGCATGTCACTGGACTTACTCTTCAACTATTCAAATATTTCTGCTGTCATTCCTGAGACTAGAATAACACCTGTCCTATTCAACATGCTTTGAAATATGATCAACAACTTCCCTGACCTGACCTATCTCTATTGAACAGAAAAATGATAGGGTGTTGTCAATAATATATTGTCATCTATACAATGGAGAAAACATGGAGTTTAAGCATGGCTGATCCATCAGTATCCACTCACATGTGAACATCGATACCGTTATCCTCTCTCCCTATTCCCTTCCCCCATCCACCACCGTCTGTGGCAGAAATGGTTGTGAATCAAAGAGTTTGATGAAATCACACACTTGGCCAGAAGTGCCTCTCTTGCAGCCTAAAGGAGATTGAGACAGGCATGATCTAACTTCCCTTATTTTGGAACTCTTGCAAATACCGATATGGACATGTTATCATTTACAGTAATCCAACTAGTTTTACTAGTACATTTAATCTTGACTAAATTGAAATGCATTCAAAAGGTTGCACTTCTATTTTCTTTCAGGTTCTCATGGAAATATTATTATGTATTAATTTTATTTTCTGAATTACTTGGAAACAAGAATTCTGTTTAATCAACATTTCCAGGTAACTTGCAATATCGCTTTAAAGTAATTGAATCAAAGTATAGCAAACTCACATAACTGTATTTATTTTAAGCATTTAAACATCTGGGCAATGTCAAGTACTTCTGCTAGTTATAAATAAACAATAAGAGTTGATCTTTTTAATACCTGAATATTTAAATCTCTCATCTTATCAAAAATTTCAGACTGACAGTCTTTCTGTTGCTAATAAGATCAGTGGTCACAATTCTTCCTGAAATCATTTGGTTTTCAGCTTATTAGAGCATGGATGTTTGGTCAGTGTCAAAAACAGATTCAGTTTTCAGACTAATTAATACAGGTGTCATGACAAGTAGTCAAAGAATTACTTATAAGCACTATATGGTTAAAGCAGTGGAGAACTTTCAGAGGAAAATTAACAGGAGATAACTGATAACTGACATCCATTAAACATGGCACGTGGAACTAGAACAGTGAGTAAAATAAAGGGTTCAGTTCGACATTCCAACCACCTGAAGAAGGCCGGAGTGTACAACAGCCGAAATATTGTAATAAATAGGGCAACAAAGATGAGAACAATAGTCTGAATAATGTAAATGGTGTGCTAAATAAAAGTTCAAGAAATTTTGTGAATGGAAAAAATGATTTGTGAAAGCCTGATGTTAGCTTAATCTGAATATTTCTATTTAAAAAAAAAAAAACAAAAAAACAAAAAGAATTCAAGAAAAATCAATGACTTACAGATATGTGACTGCCCCAGCAACCATGCACCATTTGGCCCCAATATACATGATAATGACCGGAGCTATCCAGTTGCCAAATGCCAATAGTGTGTAGATGATGCCCAAACTGAAATTATAGAACAAGTAAAAATAAAAATTATTCTCTGTGAAACATATTTAGATTTTAAGATTTACTAAAGCCAAAATTCTTTTCTTCATGTAACTTTACCAAAGATTAAAAAAAAATCCTACACTGCAGAGGTTCATCAAATCTTTTTTCTTTTTTTAATTTTTTAATCATTTCACTTCAAGCAAGAGGATAAAGTCACTAAGATGCAAGGGGTTATTGAGAGTGAATGAATCTGTGAAGACATTATTGAGGAAAATAGACTGTAAGGATACAGAAGGCATTTATCTTCCTTTGGTGGAGATAAGTCACATGGCTCATGTGACAGCCGCTTTGTGATATCACTTCATACAGTTACAAAAGTGGCCAGTTATTCAGTTGGTTTATAAGAGCCAAACAAAGAGGTTGCTTTTTTTTTTTTAGCCTAGGCTGAGGCTAAATCTGCCTCCCTCAGCAGCTTACAAGTCCATGGTGCCATTTCATTTTGGGAATATATCTGCCTAAAAATCTCACAATCCTCAATTTGGGATAACCTAAGACTTGCTGTTTCCCTTTGTGGAATATGTCCTCGCTTGAAATATAGATGAATCTGGAGTCCTAAACATGGCTTCTCCCGAAACACAGAAAAATTTGCATATTATATATAAGACTCTTCTTTGTTTTTTTTTTTCTTACACTCTGCTCATTGTGTAGATATATTTTTTCTCTGCATGGGACACGCGTATATGTATATATGTATATATAGGAAAGCAAAGAGCAGAAAGAGAGTTCTACAGGTGCAAAATCCTAGAGGAGATATTATTAAAATAGAACTTATGATTATATCTAGTAATTTCAACAGTAAAATGATGAGACCTAACTGCCAATCTAGTATTAGGCTTAAATTTGTGATGTTGAGTTACTAAAGAGAACAGCGCCTCAGAACAATTGCACAAAGGCACAAAGAAGCTACATAATGGGAAAGGGATTGAAGTTGAGATGCCAAGTCAGGACTGATAACATTGCAGATTCTTTTTCGGATTTTGTCAAGAATCTATAGACAGATAGAAGCATCAGACAAGACTGCATGGATGAATGGTAGACTTCTAAAGATACAGGATAGATTCTGGTGAGAAAAAATTGTCTAGCATGACATAGTGAACTAATTTTCTCAACAGCAGTAGATGGTTGGGTTTGTTTTGTGGCATATCAACCTCAATGGATCATTTAATGCTGACAACTTTTTTTTTCCTGGTAATATTTTTGTTTTGTCAAAAATCTATTTCTGTTAATATTTTTTTCCTCAAAAATGTATAGCTGGTAATATTATTTTTTCAAAAACGTATAGCTGAAAATTTATTTCTGGTAATCACTTTAACAAAGTATTTCTGGTATTAAAACCTATTTTACACTTTTATAATGCTTTTTACCTCAGTTTCGGGGTTAACTATTTGCCCATAGCTGGGGCCTTAACAGGTGCTACCACTCCAAGTCAGGGTGGACCTGGGAACACCAGCAATCAAGAGGTGGTTCCATGCTCCTCAAAACCTCCTGATCACAGGCCGTGCTGTTGGACGTAGTTTATCATCATACCCAGGATGCAGATGCAGTTTATTGCCATACCCCAGACAGAACAGCAGTAGACTTAGCAATTGAATATCTAACTTCTGACTTTATTTCAATCAACGTATTTGGATTTCATTCTTGTGATTCATTAATTCTTAAAAATAATTGACAAGAGTTATGTAAACCTAAGAAAACAGATGAAATATGGTAGAAATTTTAACAAAAACTTCAAATCAAAATTTGAAATTTATTTTTTTTTAATTAGCATTTTTCTTAAATTGTTTTAACTTATTCAATTAATTGAAGTTGCTTTTATTATTTTTATTTTTTCTGAACTCCTTAAATGGTTGATACCAGTACCCTGTTTCTGGGTGCCAAGTTAAAAAACCGAACAGTAGACAATATTCTAATCGTTCTTTATATATTTAATGATTTAATTATTGTTTGTTTGTTTGGCAAATTTGTTTTTTTTTAGTCAACAGATTAGCAAAACAAAAATATTTCATGTGTATCATAATTTTATTCACCAAATAAAAACAAATTCTTTTCCTCATTCAATTTTATAACACAATAAACCAAAAATCAGAATGTTATTTATCAAAATAACAGCAAATGTCAATTCCATTAATAAGTAGCAAATTCAGCTAGCAATTACTTTATTTATAAAGTTAGAGTATTTTAACAATATTGTGGCAACAGAAATCTTGCTACAATGTGCCATTTTTGAGATGTTACTATGAAAAACACATTAACATTAGATCATTATATAATGGCCGATATTTTAAAATTATTCAGATATGTTATTCAGATTATTCAGAATTCTAACAAACAATGGCACAGTTAAGATATAAAAAATATTAACAGAATGCTTAATCAAATATGGAAGTGAAAAAATATTAAGTAAACAGAGATTTGAAACATCTGGCAGAAAAATGACAGCAAACATGGATAAACATGTCCACAATAAAACAGTGTGTTTTTTTTTCCACAACACCACTTTTTTTTTTTTTTTTTAACTGCCTTCATTCTTTGGCAATGTTCATTGTTTTAAAAAGCAATGATTAGAATTGGAATAAAACCTAAACATATTAAAGTGAACTTATAGATTTTCTTTATTCTTGAAAGGAGTGAAGGTAGTTAAAATAATAGTGGTGTCAAGGGAAAAACTGTCCTTTTGACACTACGTCTTATTGCAGGCATGTTTATCCATGCTTGCCATATTGATTAAGGTAATTTAAAAGAAAAATATATAATTTAACAAAAAGGAATTTATGATTAATTTTGGGCTTTTGCTTTCTTTTTTTATTCAGACGTTTATTGGCTCAATTGTAGATCAAGAAGCAAGGGAAGGATGGGGACAAAGCAGGAAGAGATAACAAAGATAAAACAAATTGCAGACAAGAATACAAAAAAAAAAAAAAAAAGAACATTCATAATATGTAAAAGAAATTATATTATTGAGAAGAAATAACCACATCAGAATGTTTCCATGACAACAGGGGAGAGAAATAGTGAGTATGTGTGAATGGATAATATTAATGGAAAAAATTATTTAGTAAAACTGCATCCTTTCAAAGGAATCCCTAGGGACAATAATCAATGTTCTTTATACTTTTCAAAATAGTCTGCAAAGTTCTTGTTTAGGATTGTTATCAGAAGCCTTATTGCATTTTCTCATTAATCTCACCCACTGTGTTTTAACAGCAATCATAGATTTGAGAAAATTCAGAAATGACAGGAACCCAAAGTTGGCTGTTGGGGCTGCTGAAAAAACTGTCCAAGGCAATGTTTTGCATAATAAGTCTTGTATAACATCTAAAAGAATGTACTAACATAAATAAAGAAGTTTAAAAAGTAAAGCAATTAAAATTAAATTAGGTAACAGAATTAAATGCTTATATGCATGGATAGTTATGAAACCTTTGAACTAGTAAAAAGCTACATGATCAATAAACAGCTCCAATTGATGAAAATAAAAAAAAAAGATATGGGATTATACCAAGATGATGGTCTATTAATCTTACAAAATTACACAGACAGTAAGGCAAATCATTTACATGTGAAGTCACAAAGATTATAAATTGCTACAGCTATTACCCATGTGGCAGTTGAGTGCATACGACTTCTTGTGAGTAAGAACACAACACAGCAATGGTGTCACCAATATCTAACAAACCAAATGAACTATTATCACTTGATATTTATGAATACACACAAGCATGGCTTAGAATACTAGCTGCTAAAGCTAAAACAAAAAAAATAAAGGATTTAAAATCAATCAAAGGAGAAAACCAAATAACGGACATCTCCTTGGCAATTGGAAACTGCTGGCTGTGAAGTTATAAAATTATCTGCAATTGCACACCCAAGACAGTTGGGGGAAATGATGTTTAACGATATAAGTCAACTAATAGTGAAAAACATAACACAGGTTATCAAATATGTTCTGAATGAACAGGTTATCAAATATGTTCTTTGTTTAAAACAGGCCGCCAAATATTGTAAATTTGAGAAACTGGGATCAGAAAAGCTGTCAATCAAAGAGGATTTGATCCAAATTAAATTGTAAAAAATGAGGAGTATTGGCAAATGACCAATGCATTTACAACTGGAAAAGTTGTCACTAGAACAGTGTGTTGAATTTGTACAGCAACAAGGATTAGAAATTTTAATAAAACAAAAATTACAGATATGGTCGAGGAAATGGATACATACACAATAAAGAAAAAAGATAGAATAATGTGTACTTATTGTGGATATCAACCTCAAAGAAAAAAGCAAAAATGTCCAGCATATAAAAAGAAATGTGGAAGGCATTTCAAAATTAATCATTTTAAAGATATGTGTAAGTCCAAAAACAAAAAGACAGTCCAACAAAATGAAGAGGAAATAAATATGGACGTCTTTTCATTAAAAAAAATAAAAAATATGGAAAAGGGTTATTAAAAACTCCAATCAATAATGTTTTATTGGATATGCAACTAGATACAGGTAGTGACATGACATTGATACCCAGAAATTTCTGAAAGAAATTAGAAAAGAAAGATTAAAGAAATCCATGTTTAATTGAATCAGTTTGATGGATCCATGATAAAAACTTTACACTATTTTGAAGCCTATGTGGAACTAAAAAATAAGTTTGACATATTACCAATTATCATGGCAAACTGTGAAAAGAATTGTGGTCTAATAAGAAATGATGTATTGAACATAAATTTGATAAAATTAGTGAACCAAGTCAAGGCAAAATAAACTGAGATGTTAAAAAACTATGAAGCAAACTTAAAACTAAAGCAAAATGTCTCCCCCTCATATTTTGAAGCACGAAAAGTGCCAGGCCATCTACTACCAATAGTTGGGGAAAAACTAAAAATATTACTGGAACAAGTTCCACCAGGAGGGAACAAATGGGCCTCACCACAAGTAACTTTAAGAAAGAAGGACAGGGATCTGCACATGTGTGGTGACTACAAAATAGTGCAAACCACAAAATATGTGCAGACTCATATCCTATCCCACTGTAGCTTTAAACTTCATTGCCGGTATCAAAACGTTCTTGAAAATTGATCTAAAGTCAGCACACCTGTTGACAAAGACTTTAAAGAAATCACAACAATAAACACACCAATAGGCTTATTAAGATGGAAAAGAATACTGTATGGAATTAAAAACACTAGTACAATTTTTCAAAGTGCTATAGAGCAAGTTACTGGTAGCAATATAAAAAATATTCTACCAGAATGACATTTTTTACATTAGTCGGACTATTGTCCTCATCTTTGTCGCCATATTTGTCACAACGTTTCGGCCGTTGTACACTCCGGTCTTCTTCAGGTGGTTGGGTCTGGTAAAAACATGCAATGATAACAGCAAAAATTGCAATATGAGCACTGGTAAAAAATGAATGCTGAAAACATTAGGTTTATAATACCCAGAAATTCATATCCAGATGTCCTCAAGGATAAAGGCGTTGGTTAGATCCAGTGACAGACCCAAAGAGTGTGAGTTCAATACCCGGTTAAGGCAGTGGAGAACTTTCAGAGGGAAAATTAGCAGGAGATAACTGATAACTGACATCCATCGAACATGGCACATGGAACTGGAACTAGAACAGTCTAAATTCCAACCACCCGGAGCATACAACGGCCGAAACATTGTGACAAAGATGAGGACAATAGCCCGACTAATGTAAATACTGTACATAATACCTCATCTCAGAAATATAGACATACTCAGAATGACATTTGTATTGGTGCTATTAACAAGGAGTTAAAATGGAAAACCAGTATTTGAATAAGCTAAAAAATGCTTGATTAACAATTAACAAAAAAATGTGTGCACAACACTAAAAAACATTTTTGGAATATTCCATATTTAAGGAGGGTATACCATGAGACCAATCATTAATTGACAAAATATTAAGTTGAAGTAGCTAAGAACAAAAAAAAACTGAATTCTTTCTTAGGACTTGTAAATTTCTACAGACAATATGTAGAAAGATACTCTGAACTGATGGAACCTTTTGTTGCTTGAAGAAAAAACAGAATGTGGAATATATTTGGACAAAAGAACAAGTGGCATTTGACAATTTAAAAACTGTTCTGGCAAAGAAGCTGGTAGTGAAAATATTTGACCCTAGAAAGGAAAAAGTAGTAACAACTGATGCAATGAACATTCACTCTCAGGGTTATTAGCTCAGGATGGTCATCCTATTATGCGTCTTTTGAGAAAATTGTCAAAAGCCAAAGTGAGCTACTCAAATATTGAGAAAGAAGCATTGGCCATAATATGGGCAACAAATAGAGCTTGTCAGTTTCTGATTGGAAATAAATTCCTCTTAAAGGTCCAACCATAGACCTTTAGAATTCATATATTTAATCCTAGGAAGGAACTTCCTAAGGTAGCATCTTCTAGAATTTTAAGATGGGCATTAATGGTGTTTGATATTGAGTACGTGAAAAGCAATATCAAATCACATGTAGACACTTTGTTGAGTTTGAGGTTTATTACTTTTAAAAATGAGAAAGAAGAGGAAAAATTTGAAGATACTTTCTTAAACTGGGTCGAAACTGATATTTTGTCAACAGATAAATTAGCTGAGGATACAAAGCAAGATCGCATATTGAACAGTATATTGTTCATGATAAAAAATAATAAGTGGAATAATTGCTCACAAGTAGAAAGGTGTTTTTTTAAAGAGGTTAAACACAAGTTAAAGGGTGTAATTTGTATTCAAAACAGTGGTTCCATCAGCAACGCAAAGGAGGAAGATATAAAAAGTATACATGACATTGCTCATTGCAGAATAACATCTATGCAAAGGAGATTAAAGCTAGAGGCATGGTGGCCAGGCTATTCTACAGATGTAGAAGAATATATAAAAAGGTGTAAAATGTGCAATGAAAGAAGAAAATTTAGATAGGCAAAGACATATACATGGCCTAAAGAGTCCCAACCTTGGGAGAAAGTACACATGGATCATGCCCATGTTAATGGAGTGGGATTATTACTAATACTGGTAGATTCATATTCAGGTTGGCCAGAAGTAATACAAGTCTCCAACAAAAGAAGTTCAACTGGTAAACAAGTGTTAAGGACCACCATGTTTTCAAGAAATGGAATTCCAAAAACGCTAGCATCTGACAATGATCCAGAGCTCTGTGACGAAGAATTATGCCAATGGTTGAACAAAACTGCATGTAAACCATATAACCCACCCCCCATACCATCCACAATCAAATGGATTAGCAGAAAGAATGGTGCAAACTATAAAAAATGGATTGAAAATGTGTAAAACGGAAAGAAAAGATAGCAAAAATCCTAGAAGAAATATTAAGTTATAGGACAATACCACATGCTGGAAGATTGAAAAGTCCATCTACCCTCATGGGTAGACAAATTAGAGACCCATTGACCATGTCCTATGCCACCAATGAGAAACTATGGTATAAAAGGAATAGTGAATCTAATCTACAAGAAGCAAGATTCATAATACAAAGTAGACAGAACACTATGATAATAGGAAAAATGGAAATGGGATATTAGTGCATGCAGACTAAGATTGCAATATGATAGCAATAAAGAAATGTATCATGAGCCTAAAAAGTAATGAAGGAAAAAGTGTCATGTCAAGGCAAGAGAAAACATGACAGTGAAATCGAGAGTGATATAAACTCTGTAGATGAACAAGGACAATCATTGGAGGTACACGCCTATGAAAAAAAAAAAAGAAAGGTCAAATTCTCCCATATCTAAACAATCTCTCAGAGAGAGAGAGAAAGATAGTGAGGAGACAAAAGCTCCCCGAAGAAGTACCAGGGAAAATAAGGGGATAAAACCTTCACTACACGGAGATAAAGTGACTCATTTACATATGAAGTCACAAAGATTATAAATAGCTACAACTATTACCCATGAGGCAGTTAAGTGTATACTACTTCCTGTGAGTAAACAGCACAACAGATTAATAGATATAACCAGAAAAGAAATAAAAATGAAAAAAAAAAAAACAACCTAAAATTTACAATCAAGTGATATAAGACTTACAACAGGTAACTTAAAATTGTCATTCAAGATTTGATACAAAATTTACCTAAAAATAAATGATAAATCAAAATAAGTTTTTTTTTTATACATATTTTGAAAATATAATAATAGGTTATAAAGATTTTAATAAAAATTACAAAAAGTGTTGTTTTGATTTGAATCTAGAATCGTAATTAAATTTATAATTTTTAATGCATTTGACACTACGTGCCTGAATCCTTTGTTTGAGAATGTACAATTAGTTTGTGTACGCTGATCAATTTTTCAGAACTTTAGAATAATAGATAGTTTATGTTTTTAAATATAATTTTCTACAAACCTGACATAGCCATCTCCATTGAATGTTCCATTACTTTCAGACTTGGCACCATCCAAGACACTTTTCTGGTTTAAAAAGAAAAAGAAGAAATGGATCAGTAAGAAATAATCAGCAGAGTTTGGAAAAACTGAAAATTGTTTTTATATTTGGCAAACAATTTAAGACATTTATCACAGCTGAACTTTCCTCACAAATATTTTTTATTCTATGATTGTTTTAAGTTATATCAAAATACATTCAAATCTTAGGAATAAAGAATTTGGGGGAGTAACACTTGTAAACAGGCAAATAAGAGTGGAGAAATGTAAATAAAGCAGTTTGAAGAGGGGTCGTGTGGAATATTGACAGAGAAAGCAGCAGGCAATAAGGGGCAGGGTAGAATATGGACAGAGGGGGTAATGTGGAATGCAGACAGAGAGGGAAACAGGCACCAAGGGGCAGTGTAGAATATGGATAGAGGGGCAGTGTAGAATACAGACAAAAGGGGCAGCAGGTACCAAAAGGGCAGGGTGGAATACAGTCAAGGGGGGGCAGCAGGTACCAAAAGGGCAGGGAGGAATACAGTCAAAGGGGAGGGGCAGCAGGTACCAAATGGGCAGGGTGGAATACAGTCAAAGGGGGGCAGCCTGCATCAAAATAGTTAAGTTAGTAAGATAGATATTCCTTATGGAAAAGTTGAACAAAAGCTTGAAAGTATGCGTCAACAAACTCAGAGACAAATTTGTTCCTATAGCACCCATGCCACATATCGATACACTTCCTAAATATTTATAAAAACGAAATAAAAAGAAAAAAAGGTAGTCATGGTTTATTAGTGTTTCAAAACATAATACCTAGCAAGCAATTTCAGCCTAAATTTCTGACAAGTGGAATTTTATTATTTTACACTGTTTTAACTGAACAGTTATCCTCATCTTGGTTGCTAACACCTTTTGTACTGTCTTCATTCATCTTAATCCTCATCCTGCAAAAACCAGATTATCAGGTGATTTAATTTTGACATCTTAAACTTAAGGACTGTTCTTTCTTGATCAAAAACTATACCAAGTCTACGCTAGGCCAACTGAGGAGATTAGAATTAGTAACATGGGCGAATATAGACAGGAAAATATGAACAGTTTATCCCTGTGGCTTGAATAAAGTGTTCAATTTGAAATTCCATGAAAATTATTAAAGAAGGCCCAAGGATATAATGGCAAAAACATTGTGGATCTAATAACCAAAATGAGGACATCATACGATGCCTTTTTGGAATTTAAATGATTATAGCTCTCCACAGCTTCCTTTTTAATATCTACAAACTGCATTACCATGACTGTTTTTGTCATATCTTCAGAGGGGAAAAATAAGTTAAAGAATGTAATATTTTCATTAAAATATTTTAATACATAAAATAAATAAAAATCATTTTATTTATTATAATGATATTAGTAAAATAATAGTTGTATTTAACTAATCATAAATTAATTTACCATTGGCAGAAGAAGCCATACTATTTTAATTACTATAAATTAATTACAACTTCTGTTCCCATCACTAAATTCATTAAAACATTAATTTATTTGTATCATAAAAGCAAAGCATAAAATAAAAACATTGCAATATTTCAAGAATTTTGCAATTACATTGGTTATATACTCCACATGAATAACATAAGATTTTTATCTATACAGTTTAGGATTTTATATGAGAATGAATATTTAAACAAGCAGAATTCAAAAGTAAAAAAAACATCCATAAAAACATGAAACAAATAAAAAGTAATCAATTAGCAGCCCGATCTTCTTTACTTAGTAATAAAATTCATCAGCGTAACACCTAGCATATTCACTTATTGGCAGTGAATAATGCCTCCTATTACTATAACCATGAAATATCATTACCATGAAGAGGTGATCACGTGATCAATAAATATATAAGGTTACATATATTCCTTACATCATAAGTAAATTGAAAATTACTATTTTGTTAAAATAAAAGTTATTTTAATTTATCTAATATTCTATTTAAAATATTAACAATTACAAAGAAAACATTATACTTTTTCACTGTGACTTTCGTGTAATCAATATGATCAAAGCCTTGCAACTGATCTTTCCTCTGACCTAGGTCAATATATCAATCATTTCCTTCCTTTTGAAGGTGGGCATCACTGGCCGGTGCTTGAAGAGTGCTTCACATTTCCAGACCACAGCTCCAAAGGCATCGAGTTGGATCTGGTCAAGATCCATAATAAACAAATTTAATTCAAACCATGCCCGCAAAACAATGCTACTTCTAATGTAAAACACATCTGTTTACTTTCCATTATACATCATTGATAATGGTCTCTTACAAACACATTTTGTATTTTGTTTAATGATCAAAAGCAAATGCTTTTATTAAACAAAATATTGGAAAATTCAACCTGCAGTTGCATAAAAATCACAGAGACTGACACATCTACACCAAAAAACAATACTCTGTCCAGTGGCAAAAGATGCTGGTGGCACCAGGGGTGGCAGTACCACCTTAGCTACTGAAACTGTGTTACCTCCCCTGGTTCGGGCTGATGTGTGCTTTCACACATTGTATGTAGAAAAAAAAAAAAAAAAAAAATTGGCTTGTAACTTAATATTTTCAAAACCAAGCTAGTATCATTTGATCACTAATCAGCCCTGGAGTTTTCTCCAGTCAAGATGAATGGTTGCATTCTCAATGAGGTTCCATCCTGGGTATGAAAAACTACAGGAAGGGCTCTGATCAGGAGATTTTGAGGAGCATGGAATCACCTCTTAAATACTGTTATTCCCAGCTCCACCCTGACCTGGAGTGGTAGCACCTGTTAGAATCAAAGCTATGGGAAAATAGTTAGCCCACAAACTGGGATCAAAATACATTTTTATAATAAAATAAAAAAAATTAAAAAAAAAAAAAACAGCAGTAATAGATTTTCATATTTAAAATAATTTACTAGCAATATATTTTTTGTAAAAGAAATTACTAATGCTCCCAAGAAAATTGAATTTCGGCATTAAATGACCCATGAGGTGTTGATATGTTGCTAAACAAACAAAACCTAAGTCATCCCATGCTCTATCTTTAAAAGAGTCAGATTAGAACAAAAATTGTTGCCATATATGTGTTGGGGTTGATCTATTCTCACTTTTATCCTTGATAGAGTTCAAAATCATTTATTTTATCTCGTGAGCAAAGACTTATTCTCAACTCTTTCCAACAGATTCAATGTTATGAGCCTATCATTACTCTATTGCTATTTCCAAACACCATTTCGCTTCCTAGCACCTCATCAGACACTTCATTCATCATAACCATATTAGCAGTAACCCTCTACCTTGAGAAGCTCAAGCCTTGTACTGAGTGAACTTTTCAGTACTAAAAAATTTGCTAGCTTGAGTAGCCTTTCACCATTAAAAAATCTAAGTAAATATTGAGAAATAACTGAAAAGAATGGAATGTTTAATAGACAGACATCATTTTTGCAATTTATTCATCTTGACAGACATGACCCTCAGATTTTTCACCTGCATTTACAAAAAACAAATGTGACACAACCTAATTCAGAATGGCAGAATTCAGAAGAACAGTGGTACAATAAACAGAAACATTGAACCTTGTTCAAGATTTGACTGATACAGTAGTAAATACAAACTGTGTCAGCCAAATCTGGAAAAATAAAATAAAAGAATTAATTCACTTTCCTCTGTACTCTGTCCCATTGTTAGATATCTAAAAGAAAAATACCAACACTGGCATGCTGTAAAAGCTGATAGAGAAACAAAAACAACAAAAGTTAAGAGCACTTGAGAAGTCCACTGTTATGACGTGCCAGACAGTGGCAACATAGCTATTGCTTCTCAACATAATGCAATCAGTCAATTGATAAAAGGATAGATAAGTATGATTATCTTATTTTTAAACATTTTGTTTACTAAATGTTCACCCAATACAAATTCCAAAAACTACTCAAGGTAGAAGGTTACTGTCTGAAATTGTTGTATGGTTATAAGAGGAGGAAGTGCAGATTATGAGAATATGTAGGATAGATAACGGTTGACCTTAGACATGAAGTTAACATTGTAACCTTCATGGAAACATCTTCTTGGTAGTCTTATTGAAGTTGTTGGAGGAAGTGTAAATTATGAGGATTTGTAGAATAGATAACGGTTGATCTTAGACTCAAAAAGAACGATTGTAACGATTAGGGAAACAACTTCTCGAAAGCTGTCTGGCAAAGTAGCAGTTCTTGGGAAGGAGCTGCCCCATGTGGAACTTACCAATGAAAGATGAAGGGAATGGAGATAAATTGACTCAATAACAATAAGAATTGTCAGATTTAGGTTTAAATAACTGTCCTAAAATGATGGCTTAAAGAAAAAGGAAAACAAAAATACATTTTCAATAGAAGAAATCATTTTAACCAATTAAAGCCCTTCATAAAGTCAGATATCTATAATAAAAAAAATCGTGTGTGTGTTCCCAAGATATAGCTTAAATGATACATAATGTTTCCAACCAATTTAGGGGTATATTGTACCTTGAGTACATGCTGAGTGCAATGCCAAATTTCATTAAAATTAGACAAAGGTTTCTTTAGCTAAGTCTGTTTTTGTTTTTATAGCATTTTTAACTGCAAATGTAGTATCTGTCTTTTATACATATTCTTATAACAATCTGTGTATATAAACAAACATTTGCATAATATAGTCCAAATATTTTGTATGTGAAAAATAATAAACATTCATATTATAACAACATTATTAAATAAATTTATACATAACACAACATATATTTTATACAATTCACTACACTACATTAGAAGCTGTATGTAACACATGACTTGATAGTAAATAAATAGATGCACATTGATTTGCTGCTGTTGCATATTTTGAAATAAATGCAAGGAAGAAACATGTATAATAAAAAATATGCTTAATATTTTGAAAAAGACTACACCAGTTTGAAACTATTACTCCAAATTTCCATGCAATGTATTAACTATGAAATCTATTGGAACAATAAACCTTCTTTGACCATCTTTAAATACAAATTAAAATATGTAATT